CAGAGGGGATGGGGAGGGTGTAGGCACCCAGGGGACCCCCCCAGCCCATTCGGGTCTCTCTGCCCATCCAGGTGCTGTTACCCACCGTCATCCAGTGTCCGCTCGAGGATGGGGGGCTGGCTGGGCACGCCATCGCCGATCCTGGTGAAGGCCAGCACGCGGATCTCGTACAGCGTGTACTTGCCCAGCCCGCTCAGCTGGGCGCTGCGGGAGGCATTGCCCTCTGCCAGCCAGAACTGGGCATGCGCGTCCGAGTCCTTCTCCTTGTACATCACCTGCGGCAGACCCCGTGTGACATGGCCGGGCAGGGCCACAGCTCTTGGGACCCCCCTGGACCTTCCCAGGATGGAGCAGCGTGGCCAGAGCTGGCACAGATGGCACCATCTCTTGGGTGGCACAACTAGGGACCTGGTAGTCAGCCGGGTGATTCCCCCCAGGGAAAGCTGTGCTTCCCAGGTCTGCGGGTGAGGCTGGCAGGGCACGGGCAGGGCTGCAGGCAGGCAGAGCCACAGCGCCAGGGCTGGGGTAGGTGCTCACCTTGTAGCCCAGGATGAGGCCGTTGCAGTCTGCCTCAGGGATGTCACTCCATCGGACCAGCATGCTGCTGGAGGTGGTGGCCAGCGCCGACACGTTGCTGGGGCCGGAGGAAGGCACTTGTAGAGGGATGAGAGTGGGGGTCAGCGGCCAGATCCAGCCGGGGTGGGTGCCCAGCGCTGTGGGGTGGGCAGCAGTACCTGACTCCCGGGTGCGTCCCACCACCGAGTGGCTCCAGGGCCCCGGTCCACTCCGTCCTCGATGGTGTACTCCCCTCCCCGCCCCCCCCCCCCCGGGGGGGCGCCGGGGCCGGGAGCCGATGGCGTTGAAGGCTTGGACCTGACCTCGGTACTCGGTCCACTCCTCCAGGTCCTCGATGGTGTACTCCCGCTCCACGCGGTCGTGGATGATGTGCACCGCCGGCTGCCCTCGTCCATCCGAGCGCGTGTACCGGATCTTGTAGCCCACCGAGTCGGGGTTCCCGTTGTACTCCTGCTCCAGGAGGGGCTGGCCCCAGCCGGCAGAGATAGGCACCATCACTCCTGAGCTCCCACAGCCACCCCAGCTCCATCCTCCCTTGGCCCCCCCCCTCCCACCTGCCCCCATGAGCCCCGTGCCTGTGGGCACAGACTTGCCCCCAGAGCCACGGTCCCCCCCTCACCATCCAGCGCAGCCACAGGCTGGGCTCGCTGGCCGTCCGCAGGGTGAGATTGGCGGGTGCCGCGTCCGGGGGTGCCTGTAGGGTCTGGATCCTCCGGGAGGGCAGGCTGGGGGGGCTGGTGCCCACAATGTTCACTTGCCGCATGCGGAAACTGAGAGAGGAGAGGGGGGGGTCACGGCGAGGGGTGAGAGGGCTCCGGTCCCGCAGGGAAAAAAGAGGATGCCACGGCACCATCCTGACCACTCGCCTGTAGTAGGTGTAGGGCTTCAGGTTGGGCACCTCCATGGAGCGGGCGTCGGGCTCGCTAGCCAGCTGGTGGACAAGCCCCCACTCTTCGGCCTCGCCGCTCTGGCCCACCTGTGGGATGGGAGTGGGGTGAGCTGCCCCCTGGCACCCACTCACCCCGCTCCCCGAGCCACCCCGTACCTGTGCCTCCACCTGCCAGCGGGAGATGGAGGTTTTGCCATCGTAGCCTGGGCGAAACTGAAGGGTGATGGAGCGGGGTCCGATGTTGGAGATGCCCAGATTGGTGGGGGCACCAGGGAGCTCTGCGGGGAGAAGGCAGGGCGGATGGCACTGGCCGCTCGCCCCCAGCACCGGCCGCAGCCTGCCGGCATCCCTGTGCCACCGCACTCACCTGGAGGCACCCCCGAGGAGATGGTGGAGGAGGAGACCTGGCCCTGGCCCTTAGAGGTCATGGCAGCCACCTCGATGGTGTAGGTGGTGAGGGCGGTAAGGCCGGTGACACGATACTCCAGGGTGACGTTGGGCAGGTAATGGGTCACCCGCGTGTTGGTGCGGTTGTACTCCTCCCAGGAGATCCGGTAGCCTGAAACATGCCCCGTGCCGTCAGCCCCCCTCATCGCCCACCCCAAGGAGCTGAGTGGGGCCAGTGGGAGATGCTGCGGGGTGGGAGATGCTGCGGGGTGGGAGATGCTGCGGGGTGGGAGATGCTGCGGGGTGGGAGATGCTGCGGGGTGGGAGATGCTGCGGGGTGGGAGATGCTGCGGGGTGGGAGATGCTGCGGGGTGGGAGATGCTGCGGGGTGGGAGATGCTGCGGGGTGGGAGATGCTGCGGGGTGGGAAGGGAGCCAATGTGGGAGCTGGGTACCCACCAGTGCTCCCTTACCTGTCAGGATGCCGTTCTTCTCCAGTGGCTCCTGCCAGCTGACCTTCAGGGACGTGTCCAGGATGTCACTGAAGCTGAGGTGTCCCACAGGGCCAGGCACTGCCCAAAGATGCCCAGGCTCAGCACGCAGCCACGCACCCCAGGGCAGGAGCCCTCGGCACCCACGGGAACCCCACAAGGAGAGAGCATGGATGGGGCTCCCCGGGGCTCAGTGGCACCCCGTTCCACGTCCCCACCGGCAGCACCAGTGGGACCAAGTCCCCCATCTCGGGGCTGTTCCCACCCTCCCCAGGAGCCACACGTGGGCAGGGTCCGTCCCGCGGGAACGCAGAGCCTCCCCGTACCGTCCTCGTGGGTGCGCACCAGCTGGGGGGGGCTGCGTGGGCCGTCCCCCGGCGTGGTGAAGCACAGCACCGAGGTGAAGTACTCGGCGAATTTCCGCAGCCCCGCCACGTAGCCCACGTGGACGCTGTCCTGGAAGTTGGGCCGCACCGTCACCACCGTCGCCTCCTCCTCGTGCTCCGGCTCCCAGGCAATGAGCTGCGGGAAGAAGGAGCTGGGACGCTGACGCCAGGCATCGATGTCCCCACTGTGCACATCGGTACCACAAACACCATCCTCCAGGCACCTCCAGCCTCCTCTTATTTATTCAGAGTTGATTAAATATCAATTAACAGTGCAGGGAACACTTGATGCCTTTAACAGCACAAGTTTACCCGTATGAGCCGATATGGAGCGCGCGCTTTGTGATTAATTCCCATTGATAACGGCATGTAATTGCCCGCTCGCCTGTGTTTGGGCATTTAATTGGTATTGTGCAAGATAGCCTATAGCAACTTAATTAAATACTAATTAGGCCCTAAAAATACTAATCAAAAATACTAAGTGGCATTTAATAAGAATGTTAAATATCCTACTTGCTCTGGTTATCTCATTCAGTGGCAATTAAATTCCAGAACTTCTTTTGAGTGGATTAAGAAACAAGTTTAATGTTTTAATTCAATTTAATTAATGTAAATTTGAATTAATTGCAATTTGGAATTAATTACAGAGCACGGGAGACTCTGAGCCCATGCAAGTGTTAAATCTCAGTAAATATCATTTTAACATTCAGGCCAGAATCAATTAATATCTGGGGTTTCGGCGAGGAGTCGTCGAGCCAGTTTGTAAAGGTCATCTGAGGAGTTTCCCCCACCACCACCCCAGCTGCCCCGTTTTCAGGGAGACCCACAGAAATCGCCCCTCACCTTGTACCCCTGGTTGATGCCGTTGATGAACTGGGGGCTGGGGGGGTTCCAGGTGAAGCGAATGGTGGTGGAGTTGGTGGCCTCGGTCTGCACATTCCCCGGGGGCACCGTGGGGACTGCCGGGATGAAGGGACGGCTTGCAGTGGCTCCAGCTCCATGAGGTCCCCTCCATCGGCCAGGCGCCAGCCCCCAGGGAGCACAGGCACCCGCAGCGGGGAGGACCCCGGGCGCCCAGGGTGGTGCCCCAAGAAGCCCCTGGCTGGGCCAGCCCTACCCTGGCTCTGCAGCCCCTGGTCACCCCTCCCCAGCATATCCCAGTCCCCTTGGGACCCCCACACCCATCCTCCCACCACCCGTCCCC